ACTGTGGGTATAGCTTGCTTCCTATGATTGCCAAAAAATTTTAACCCATCTAATCTCCAACTATGGCAATGGTGTTACTCCATCACCTGGAAAGAGTCCTTAATGATCTTTTCTTCAGAGAAAACAATATGATTTTGAAAATGGAGCCAGGGACTGGGAACTGACAGAACCCCTTTCCTTTCTTCATGTGTTGCTTGGAGATGTTTGAGCCTACAGAGAGGAAGAATAAAACAAGCTATGTTGACCCTTGTCTCTATCACTTCCTTCCCATTCCAATTAGGGAGGGTTAATGAAGTTAGGAAACAGAGGTGGCTGTGATTTATACAAGAAATACATATCTATGGAGCTACAGTAAGAGCTTCTCCTATACCTGGTGCCTCGAGCTGCTTATTCCTTTTCTACAACATGTTATAACTGTGACTGTCATTCTCTACTACTGAGCACTGACTACGCTACAGATTCCTGGAAGGTGTTTCAGGTGGTCCCTCATAGTCTAGGCATCCATTCCACAGTTATGTGTAAATGGAATCCCTTCCATCTTGCTACTGTATACCAGTTATCCCCTAACAAGGTATGTCTGTTCCAAAGGGCTGAGCTAAATTGTGTCTGGTAAAGACAAATGGAAAGCTTCATCATAGTAACTGATGGTGAAAGGTAACAGAACAATATGGCAAAAAAACCCTTTCAAATATGATTTAACTAAGCATGTAATCAGTTTGGTGGTAGAACATTTAATCTGTGAATCTTGATGGGCTATCAGAGTTGAGGTCCACACTGAATTTGGTACTTCTTCCTTTCAACTGCTAAAACTAGAACTTGAATTGGTTGCTTTGTTGAATGTAAAATATTTGCATATAGCTTCAAGACCTAGATATTAAAGGAGTATATTTCCTCTTACATGTGGCTTTCTCCTCCCAATAAATGCTTCAGTACTAGAAGAAGTTGTTGATGATCTAAAATTTGTACCTAGGTTCTGATTATGTTGGTATATTTATAATGACCTTTCTCTTTCACTTAGGCTAAGCACACAGAGTATGAAGTAATGTTGCAAGATAAGTAGAATAGTCTCTGAGTTTTTAATAACAAAATAAAAATGTCACAGGAACACAAGTCTCTATCAGTAGTGTAGGAGTGTTCAGTAAGCATTTTTCTATCAAGGAAACCAAAAGTGACATGTAAGTATGTTCTGTTGGCACCAACTTTCAAAATACCACACAATTCATAGTGATTTCTTTTGATAAAATGCACCTGGAATGATGAAACAAAAAAGTTACTTATTCAATTTCTCTTAACGAAGGAGTTAGCAGAATGCTTCTATTACTTTTTACTTATTTAGGATCAAATGCAGTTCTACAGGTTCCAAAATGCTTAAACTCCTTTTGTATTTGATGGAATGAGTAAAACAGCCTAAGAGTAACCAGGCAGGAGATTTTACTAAATTATAATCTAGTAGAAAGCAATTTCAAAACCAGCCAGATCAGCAGGATTTCAACATATTAATCTGTATGCAGTGAAGTCTCAATATAAAAAGCTTGTATGTTCATAATTTAAGATTAAATATATTGTTATGTGCATAAATCTTTATACACTGAGACTTCAGGGCAGGAAACTTATCTATATACAAATTCTGCAGTATTTTTGAGACTTTGATATCTTAGTTTTGTAGAGATGCTTCAGACAATAGAATTTTATACAAATTTATTTTTTATTTTAAATTTTCATAAGCAGGTAACAGCAAATAGAAAATATTGCATCTCTTATTGAATTTGTTGATCATAGAAAGGCACTAAGGTCTCTGTAATCTATAACAGAAGGTCTTTAAACTCTTCTGGCAGAAATTCTCGTTCCTGCAAAGAACAGCTATAGTGGGATCAGCAAATAATGTATAGAGTGTGTTCTGTAGGCCCTCCAGTCCCAGTTTGTCATGGGAATCACTCATCATTTGATAGAGAAATGAAAGCAGTAGAAACCAAGAAAAGAGAAGAAAGAAAAAGTCTCATATTTCTGCATTGGACCTCTTCCCTTTCTCTGCACTCATTGTAAGATTATATACTCATCCTTTTCCTTGATTTTGAGATAGAGTTTTAAATATCACTGTCTTACCCCCTGCAGAGACTGGTAAGATTTTTTTCAACTGCTTGATTTTTGTTGAAAGTTGAGATGTGAAGTTCACATTTCTTCACATAGCAGAGTTTTATTGTCTGTTTCATTTTTATTGCTTCTGCTTTATTACTTTACTCTTATTCATACTGTATTTACTTTGCAAATGCATGTATATACATTTTTCTTGGAGTCTTACAGTTTCTGTTTTCATTTTCCTTTTTTCTCTTGAACAGTAAATGCACTTAAATGAAATACTTCTGTTTTTAAAAAATGGAAAAAAAAGGACATGGCCTTCTTGCAGCACCTCATGGAAGGACTTGATTGATCTTTCACTCATGATGAATGATTGTCTACTTATGTCATACCTGAGGAATGATAGGGAAACTTGTTAGTAAATGTGAAAAATCTTTTACATTTACTTGCTGAAATTTTTCATTTGTTCAAACAGTTTTAATATTCAAAGTAGTCTGGATGCCTTGTTCAAATTCTCTATTTTCTCTTCTTTTTGTATGCTACCGTTGTAATCCACAGATCAGACAATGATACTTTTAGCCACTTCAGGTGGATTTGCCATTGCAGGGGCTTGCAATTAGAGCTTGTTTCAGAAAAAATCTAGAAGCAAATAAAACCTTAGTAAATAATATTGTTGCTATGCTGCTTTTGTTGTCTTAAGAACTACTTGAATCAGTATAAACAGAATTAAAAATTACTTTTTTTCAAATATCAGATTATTAGGTGAACTCATTATTTGTTGCAAAACGTGAATCAATGAATTTAGAACATTGTAAGTCATTCAGAAATAAAATAGAACTACAGCAACAAATGCTTGCTTTTTCATGGATATAAAATTTTAAATGCTTAATTTAATTTAACACTAGCAGTATGAAATGCTGGTCATCCCACATTGATCCTTACTTATGAGATTACCACTTTTAAGACAAGATAATAAGGTATAACAAATACAAATATTGCAGTAGAAACACCAAAACCCCAGTAATCAGTCCACTCCACAGCTATTTGTGCAAAATTTACAAATCACCAACAGTAAGAGACAAAAATACTGTTGAACTGAATCACTAACTGCACGTTTTTAATGCAGTCCTTATAAGCTTAACTAATTGTACATAGGATTAGTCCCTGCTTTATGGTTTTGATCTATAAATTCCTCAGTTAATTCATTTTTTAAGTGCTTCAAATGGACTAGAACTGTTTATGTACAAATCTGGTCCCTAGAATATATACATAATACATGAAGAATAGTTGGTACTGCCTATATTTAGACCAACAGAAAGTGTGGAAATGAAATGCAAATCCATTTAATTAGAAAGCAGCCTGTCAGATCAGAAGATGTCTTAAACTGGGTCCAAGATTATTTCTTAGAATCTAATGTTAAGTTATTGCTGTTCAATTTATAAGCAGTGTAACAATGAAAAATATCCCCAAGATATTATAGGATGCCCTTACACTTCCCTAGGTTCTTGTGGACTTTCCTTCTTCCATCTCAGTGAAGAAATGTGTCAGGTATAGTATTTTGCAGAGTTTCAGCATAATCATGATCATCTGAAATGGTGTGACTTAAGCCCCTGCGTGCACAAGAGAGTAGACCTGTGTAAAAACAATTTATTGCCTAATACAGAACATCGCTGTTTTTGAAGCTTAGATGATAAAAACACAAGTTCTTGCAGCTTAAATAGTTTGAGTCCAGCTTTTCCCACCTATGATTCTCGAATAAAGGAAAAGTCCAGAGTGATTCGAAATTAATGGTCCTTTCTATGTTTTCGTTTCATGCTGGCACAGCAACCCTTTGTTTTATTCTCATGATAAGATATAGATACATAAGAAGAAATCAAAGCAATGAAGAATAAATTGAAAGAAATTCCAAAAGAAAATACATGTTTTTCAAGAGTGTGAAGAGTATAAAATATCCTAACCATGTATTCCTTCAGCTCCTTCACAGCTGATCACAGTACATGAAATAGACAAATAGGCAGCATTTCTCTAGAGGATGCTGAGGATTTTTTTAAAAGATATCAAGTTAATGAAAATGTATTTTATTACTCAGCCAAAGGAAACACTAAAAATTATAGCTAGCAAGTAGCATTATTATGACAGAAAAAGAGGAGGAGTTCTTTACAGAACTACATTCAAAGCACGTGAAAGAGGGGATGCCATGCCTTTTCATCTACTTTTTTTCTTTTCCCCCCTGGTAATTCTTAACCACATTAATAAGAAGAAAAATAATGGCTTTGTTCTTTCCTTAAACATTACACAAATTTTAACATAGAAATCACTTCTAACTGATTTGATTTAGTCCCTAACATTCAGAAAAGAAAAGCTTTCTCCATTGGCATTGTTCATTAATTAATGTAGATTTTAAAATACTCATTAAAAACGCCTTATATAAAGAAAAAGAGAGCAGATGACATGCAAAGATGTGGCACTTCCTTTTGAACTGCCCCTTGAAATATTGAAATGTTGGAAACCTATGAAATTATTATGTCATTTTAGAATACTGAATTATGACAAAAAAATACATTAAAATATGAAAATTTACATCCCTGTTATCCAAACACGCTTAACCTTATCTTTCAGAATGCATTGCTACCTGGTACTGTTAATAATTAAGTGCATGCTTGGAAGGCATCTTAAGTGCCTGACAATCTATCAAATAGACACTTTTGTGGCTTGGTCCTAAAATATAAATTGTTGTTTCTTCTTTTAAATAAATAGTATAAAATGTTTGCTACATATCAGACCTTCAATTAGTTTTAGGTTAACAAGCTATGAAGCAACAGCTTATGGATTTACGTATATTAGGCTAAATCTACTGTGGCATAATTAAAAGCCTGATGGAAATGGGAAGATGAATAAAATTTGGCTGGATATAATGGTTGAGCATGAAGATGTTTGAGACCAAGGGACTAAGTGTAGCAGGACTTGTTCCATTGTGTTGTCTCGCTTACAGGCATCACCAGCTGGATCAAGGTCTGTGCATATATATATGTGTGTGCACATGTGGGTTTGTGTTTATGTGTGACCAGGGTAGTAAGATGTATATGGCTTTTCAATAAATGTTATAGTAGAGGATATAGTTTTTCCTGTGCATTATATCACATTTTATTCTTATCAGCAATAACTAACTTTCCTTAAAATAGACCCCGTCTAATATATGTTCCCTGTGGTCTCTTTAGGTTCTCCATATAGAGACAAGATTACAATAGCAATTCTTCAGCTGCAAGAGGAGGGCAAGCTCCACATGATGAAAGAGAAATGGTGGAGAGGCAATGGCTGCCCAGAGGAGGAAAGTAAAGAGGCCAGTGCTTTGGGAGTTCAAAACATTGGAGGAATCTTCATTGTGCTGGCAGCAGGATTGGTGCTTTCTGTCTTTGTGGCAGTGGGAGAGTTTTTGTATAAATCAAAAAAAAATGCCCAGTTGGAAAAGGTAAATATTGTCTTTTCCTATTTTATTTATATCAATGTTTTATTTAAATAATATTTCAAGCATCTGATAGTGAAATGTATGCAATACACATACTGATTGTTTACTGTATAGTGCAGTACTTGTATAACAAAGGATCACAGCAAAGTACCCTAAGTTTTACATTTACAGTTTTTAATTTATCTTCAATGTGTTTAATTGTAGCCAGATTTCAGGACAAGTGACTATTTCTCTTCTTATTCAAGCCTGAAAAAAGACAGCTTTTTACTCCTGGAAGTTCACTGCAGTTAATTTTATGGATGAAGAAGAAATCTGAAACTCTAATGGGAAAAAATCTTCTACAGATAATTCTGATTTTCAAAAGACAAACTGTAGCTCAATCTCAAAATCTAAAAATGTCTCTATAGAAATGTTCTTTACAGTTTATACTTGGAAAGTGTCTTGGTAGCATCTGTAAAAGATTATATCAGCATGGATTTTTTTGGGTGGGTTTACTACTGATATGATGTTGTGTAATTACAAACTGAATCAGTTTTAAAAATTCTAGTGTTAATTTGTTCTGTACTTGCAATTTATAAAACCATAATGCTTTAATTGTATCAACACTAGTTATATCTTGTGAAATTCTTAGTTGGATTTTTTTCATAATGAATAAACCTTTATATTTGTATGTAACCGTATTTGAAACTATTTTATTGCTATGACAAATTCTGAATTTTTAAAATTGTGAGAACCTGTTAAATTTTACTAGGTCTTTTTCTCTTCTCCTTTTGAGGAGCTTGTGACCTATGGTAATTTCTATATTTCAATTTAGAAATTTAATTTAATAAAATCAGTAGTAAATCCGACAGCTATATTTATATTGATATTTTTCCAGATGCTACTGGTGAGTTTTTGTAACTTAAAATTTGTTTCAACTTCTTTTGAGGCAACATTTTGGTATGCAAGTATCCTTTTATAAACATATGAAAAGAATTTTTTTTCTAGTACATGCAAAGGCAGTGTGAGGTTACAAGGTTCTAAACATAGTTTGAATATGGGTACATTTTATTCAATTGTTAAAGGACCATTTAGATGCTCTTCTTTATGGTATTATAGGCTAATTCCTTTCTGTTAACATACTCCTGGAATGTTATGTTTCTGAAATGAAATTGTGAGTAAAAAGATATCAGTTACTTAAGTAACCCATGTAATTCTGAACAATTTTTATACATTCCTAATGTTGGTATGGATTTCTTATGGACATCAGTATAGTTTGTTTTATCTTTTCTGGATTTTTAACAAGCACTCAGAACAGCAGCACTATTTTGATAAAAATCTTGTAACATGAGTTCATTAGTTTGCAGAGTGTGAATACGTATCTTATGTAACAATAACAGCCTGTTGGAAGTCGTGTGAGGAAGCAAACAGAAACTTCCTATTTAGGGATTTGTTTCTCTAAGCCCTGTGGTTGTTTTTTGTAGGTATCTGGCCTTTTCACAGTACTTATGCTAGAAAAGTCTCATCATCAAGTAATGAAATACTTTAAAAAGTTAGAAGTGAATATGAAGCAGTCAGGTCTCTCTCCTCTTCTTCCTCCTCGCTACCAATCTTTCTTTCTCTCCTTTCCCCACTGCAGCCACACACCCTGATTGCAGGGAACAAGTAAAATTTCAGTAGAACTTTACTTATGAAATGAAATCAACAGGAAAATTATGCCAGCATCCCTACATATGGCCTACCCTCTCATCCCCTCACCCACTCTTCTCCTGGCACCCACAAACCTCCAGTGAACATCTTCAATCCTCCCCAAATGCAGCAGATCCCCTTTGCCTAGGAGAGGGAGTAGCAGCAGCCAAATGGGAGATAAGCAGTACTGGCATCTGTCTCCAGTCTCTACATCTCCTCTGCTGGGATGAGTAAACCATGCAAGTAATGCTGTCTCAGCTCTCCCATGGGGAGAGAGGAGGCACCTATTTTTGGCAATATTTCTAGTTTCATTCCTCTAGAATCAGAAAGTTATTCTGGTATTTGTATAATGCTTGTCAACATTTGGAAACAGGGAAGATCAAAGGTCACTTTAGCAATCAAGGAAACAAAAGAATTTAGCTATCTTCAGCTGTTGAATATATGTAGCATCCTGGGACACAAGTGGGCATATTAGCATGTGTGTCTGCCTTTTAATGTATACAAAATTAGAGTGGCACTTCTGGTGGGGAGGCAATGCAAATTTAAAGTGTATAATCTAGGTATGTATTTTTAGCATTTCCAATGTCACACTGCTCCTGGAGTGCACATGTAAACAGAGACATTGGCTGGTGTGAACCTAGTTGGAGGAGTGAAATGTTGAAAGGAATTGAGCTCAAAACAGCAGCTGATAAAATTGTGTTCTTTGCTAAAAAACTACTGCATCTTATAACCAAAGTGGTTCAGAAGAACCATTCTTCTGATATGCTCAAAAATCCAAAGGAAAGCTGTGACACTAGCTGGAGTCTTTATGGGAAACATGAATTCATGCCACTACAACACTTTCCAGACACAGAGGAATGTCTTTTTTATTGACACCTTTCAAACACGAAGAGAAGCTTGGATATTACAGTTAGACTGTTAGTCACTGGCACTTACAGCAAGTTTGTTTGAAAAATGAGTGTCCTAATTTACTAAGTATTTTCCAGAAGATCAAGATCTGATGGATGTGAAAAGAATAATATATGGATTCAATTCTGCTGTAATTCAAAACCCATTGAGCCATCAGCAGGTCAGAACTAGGTCTGCTTGTGAAAAAGTAGCAGATGTACATTTTATTAATTTTGCACTGTTCAGTACTTGAAATAACGTGAAATGAGACACATGCCAGTGTACCCTATTTGTTTCACAAGGAGACATCTGGCTATAAACTCCCTATAATACAAAATACTAGATTAAATCTTAGAGTGTACTGAAACAATAACACCAACAAAGTATTTCTTATCAAATCATAACCTAAACATCAGTTAAATAAAGCTTGACCTGTATGATTGCCAATAATTCTGAATTTGCTCTCTACACCAAACACACATTTGAGTAGTGTGACAACCTGAGGTGTAGTTTAAGTTAAATAACCTCTGTAGGCCTACCTAGTACATAGTATCATTGATATTTTTCACAGGAAGTATTGGGAATGACAAAGCATCATTCTTATGTATGACAGAATTTTGACATTCTAGTAGACACAGAAGGAAGGGGTAAGGACGAGATGGCAGGCCAGAGGCTATCTATCCTGACTGCATTCCTGAAAAGTAGCCACAAGATGGTGCCTTCTAATTTCTCAGAGGGAAATTTAATTGTTACTTTTTAATAGAATTTATTTCACAATGCTCACTTTTTTTTTATTTCAGCCTTTAGAAAACATTATAGTCTTGTGTTCTTGTCTGCTGTTTATGATACGACCATCTAATCATGTCATCTGCTTGTAAACAAGTAATTAAGCAGACCTTTTTTATCTAGCTAATCTTGACAATAAATCCCAGTCATCTGTGTTTTATAATTGCTTTTGCTGGTGAATGACCTGCTCCTTGATTTTAACAAGCACTCAGAGGGCAGTGAATAAGCAATGTTAGAAACAGAAGCCATTTAAAACAATTACTATGTCCATTTTTACATTATTATTCACGTGCTCCAATGTGTTATGTGTTTATGTCCATTTCGTACATTTAGTTTTGTATAGCTCATATTATTACCATAATGACCATGGAAAACATTGACCTTGAAGACCACTAATATTTAGCATAATATATTTATGAATCTCAGTTAGAGAATTTATTGATCTTTCCTTCATTTTTTTGTTTGAGTTTGGGTTTGTTGGGTTGTTGGTTTTGTTTTTTTTTTTTTTTGAGACTTCTCTGAGGTTATTTTCATTTTGATACCACCTTCACATAGTGATTAGATAAAAGATATTACCGTAAGTGTCAGCTCTGTGGTAGAAACTGCATGTGCACTGCTGAAAACTTTAGGATGAAATTCACAGTATTGCTGATGGCAATGTCACGAATATATAGACATTTCTTGTTGTCATCCTTGCAAATGGTTGTCTTTGTACCTGTCCTGGTCATGGTTTCTTTGGAGAAGGTGGCACTGGCTTGAGAAGTTTTCTTGAAATCTGTTTTTATTAATGTAGTGGACCCACACCCTTCCTAAAAGGCAAGAAGGGGCTAAGCGCTGCTTAGCTGAAAAAACTATGTATTTGTCAACATGCACAGTTGACACCACATCCTGATTGTGTTTCCCTCAAATATGGTTAGTTCTTGATTCTGAAGTACTTTTTAATATCTTAAGCTGTATCATTCAAGGAACAAAGAATAGAAAGATTAGAAATGTGTGTAAAGCTGACCCATTGCGCAAGTACAAACGTAGGAATCAGGAGGCTCACTATTACTTCATAGATATTGCTCCCCTGGGAAAAAAAAAAAAAAAAAATTCTTCATTCTCAAGGAAAAAAAAAAGTCAGATTACGGAACATTCATGTCTCTCTAATAACTTTTTATTGTATTCCCCTATACAATTCTTTACTATATGGTATATAGATATTCTATTATGTAAATTTAAACTTTGCATTTTTATTTAATCAGCTATACTATAGCTAAGTGTGGTAGTAAACACAGTTTACTTCATGTGATTTTACTACTTTGAGTTCTGTATATGCCAGCAAAGTAATAAAAAGCACTTTCAGCTGCCTTTTAGATTAAGAAAATGTCCTAGACTGCCAGATAAAACCATGTAATTATGGAGAAACTAATGCTAACCATTTTGCTACTATGTAGTGTGGTATGACTATAGTAGTTAGTGTTTCCAAAAGTCTAGAAACTGTTGACATTAAATTAATACTAATAGTCTCTCTCTGTTCAATATGATTTGAGGCCATGCCAAATTTTATATTAAATTTATACTATCACACTGAACTATAAAACTGGTATAACTATATGGACTTGAGCTCAGTAAACTATAAAAAGCTTTTTAGATACAGCTGAACTCAGGTAAGAAGGGTT